GCTGCTTGGCCTGCTGTGTTCATCCAGCCCTGCACCTTGTTGTCTCGGATTCTCCAGCATCTGCAGTTCCTACTACCTCTGTGAAATTTTAGCTGCATTACACTATAAGGTGCTACTGCCTCTGAGTGGCCACCATTATTACTGCAGTTGTTAAAAAACGGCTAACGATAAAAGGTTTACAGGATTCGTTAAATAATCTGTTTTTTAAATCTAACATCAGCTATTTTTTAAAAAATCAGAATCTTCTCTGTATTTTCTGGCGCCACAGATTCCCCCGACCCCCACTCAGTTTTGTCTGAGATCAGAGTGTAAGAGAGAACGTTAGAAAGATCCTCTTAAATTCTGAATAACATTTCTTACAACTTGGCCAGAGCTGGTCTGAGATGTAATTGGATGCATCAGCAACTTTCCAGTCAGGATTTACTACCTCTGGGATAGTGAGGCTGACAGAAATAGCTGGGAGCAGAGGTGGGAGTCACAATAGAGATCAAATCAATTTTAGGAAATCAAGATAGCAAAGAACAGGAGGGGAGGATGGGTGTCAGCTTTTAAAACCAGGAGGTGACCAGTAACGAGGATGTGACAAATGGGAGATGTACAGACAAGGGAAAAAGATTTAAACAGAAACCTGGAGACCTAAGACAAATAGACAAGGCACAGAGTTATAATGAAGTTAACATTTGGAAATAAATGGAGACAGAGAAATGAGAAAGCAGAATGGAGGGTGTGAACATAAGAACAGATTGGGAAGAGCAGGCCATTTGGCCCCTCAATCCTGCTGCGCTGTTCAACAAGAGAATGTCTGACCTGATTATTCTACATTCCCCAAAAAACAACTGTTAGTCAGGAATTTACCTCCATCTTCAAAAAATTCAATAAACACTGCCCCCACCTCCAGCTCCCCCACCTCCAACTCCTCCCTCATCGCCACTCCTACCTCCATTCCACCCCACCCCACCTCCAACTCCTCCCTCATCGCCACTCCCACCTCCATTCCACCCCACCCCACCTCCACCTCCACCATTCTCTGGTTATTGAGCTGGGATTGACCCATTAGCTATCAGCAGGGACAACGATAATTGTGCGAGGATGCCCCAGAATCTTAAACCTTCTGGAAGTTTGGAGGTGAGGAAATGTAACGGAATGACTAAAAGGAGTTTTTAAGGTTCAAAACTAATTATACGGGAAATAGGGTGTACATCAGGGGCTGGGGTATGGGGGTGGCGGATGCAGTTGGGGTGATGCCGTCAGGAGTCAGTAGGTTCAGGTCCAGGCCCCACCCCTCGGGAAGGAGATATCAGCCTTGAAGGGGGAGCAGAGCATATTTCCCAGAAAGATCCCACGGCTGAAAGGGTTAAGTTACGAGGACAGGTTGCACACGCTGGGCTTGTAATCCCCTGGAGAGGAAGATTAAAGAAAGATCTCATCAAGGTAGATCTCTGGGATCTTGCCCATCCCCCAGACGTGCTTTCAATTGCCTGGAGCACTGAGTTCAGGAAATACCTCCCCTACCCTTTCCAGCTGCCTGTGGTCTCCTCCTTTAAGAGGCTCCTTGAAGCCTACCTCTTTATCCAGTATCACCTCCTGTGGCTCACTGTCATATTTAGAATGCTGAAATATCCTGGATCATTTTCTGATGTTGAATATATATTCAGTTTATAGACTAGAAACTGTTACTGTTAACAGGATAAACTACCATGATTAACTGAGTGGAAATTAACCATTTCCTCCGGTGCTGTTGGTCCAATATAAGGGGCAGAAACCTAAAGTTACGAGCCAGGGTCAAGGGTGATGTCAGAAAACATTTTGATTCACAAACAGGATTGGAAATCTGTGACCGTCTCCATCAAAAACTGTAAAAGCTGTAGGTGAATTAATGAACTTCCCAGACTGAAACAGACAGATATAGAAAATAAGAGAAGGGGTATGTCATTCAACCCTTCAAACTGCTCAGTGATTCAATGTGATCACGGCTGATCATCCAGCTCACTGCCTGTTCTCTCCCCATTCTCTTTGATGCCTTTAAAATCTAAAAATGCACCTGCATCTTTCTTGAAAAACCCAGTGTCCCAGCTTTCTGTGGCAGAGAATTCCACAGGTTCACCACCCTCTGAGTGAAGAAAGATTTCTTCATCACGGTCCTAAATGCCCTACCCCATATCCTGGGAGTGTATCTGCTAGTTCAAAGTCTCCCTACCCAGGGGAAACATCCTCTCTGCATCTTGTCTGCCCAGCCCTGTTAGAATGTTATACATTTCAATCAGATCCCCCTCTCACTCCTTGTAATCTCTAGTGAATACAGACCCAGTCAAACCTCTCTTCATCAGACAGTCATTATCAAAAACCCCTCCCATCCCAGTTGTACTCTCTTCCGCACTCTTCTGTTGGGCAGAAGATATGAAAGTTTGAACACACGTAGGAATAGAGTCAAAAACTGCTTCTTCCCCGCTGTTAACAGACTTTTGAATTGACCTCTCAAATATTAATGTTGATCTCTGTCTCTGCTCCTTCTCTGCAACTATAACACTGCACTCGGCATTCTGTTCTGCTACCCTGATGCACTTTATATGGTATGTTCCACCTGTATAGCATTCAAAACAACACTTTTCACAGTATCTTGGTATATGTGACAGCAATCAAACAATCAATCCTGCTATCCCCAGTACCAGCCGAATAAAGCTCGAAGGCACTGTATCCTTTTTTAGACAGGGAGGACAAAATTGCACACAATGTTCCAGTTGTGGTCTCACCAAGGCCCTTACAGCTGCATGAAGACACCCCGACTCCTGAACTCAAATCCTCTTTCAATGATGGCCAATAAGCCATTTGCCTTCCAAACTGCTTGCAGCAGCTGCTTGTCCAGATCCATTGACTGGTGTACAAGAACACCCAGATCCCTTTGTACATCCGCAATTCCCAGTAATAAATAAACTCTTCCTTTCTGCTTTTCACACCAAAGTGCATAACTTTCCACTTATCTGTATTACATGTTGCTGTATCTGCCGTGTGTTTGCCCACAACTCAACTTGTTTAATTCACCTTGAGGCCTCCTTGCATCCTCCCAACAACTCACAATCCCACCCAGTTTGGTCATCAGAAAACTTGGAAATGTTGCATTTTGTTCCCTCATCCAGTTCATTCATGTTATAGTGTGAATAGCTGGGGTTTGATCCCTGTGGTATCTCACTAGTCACTGTCTGCAGTTGGAAAATGACCTATTTATTCCCACTTTCTGTTTTCTGTCTGTCACCCAATTCTCGCTCCATGCCAATATACTACCCTCATTCCACAGATTTTAATTTTCCCCACAGACCTCTTATGGGGGACCCAACCAAATCTTTCTGCAAATCCAGATACACCACATTCACTGGTCCTCCCCTGCTAATGCTACAGTTAAATTCTCACAAAAACTCCAGTAGATTTGTTAAGCATGATTTGCCTTTTATAAACCCACGCTCACTTTGTCCAATACTGCTAATACTTTCTGTGATAGCGTCTTTTATACCAGACTCCAGCATTTTCCCCAGGTCTCTTCCTGTTCCTGCGCTAGCAGTGAAATTGGGGTAAATGAACTCTGTAACAAATGAGGACAGCAGGATCCAGTCACTGTATTGAACGAGCAGAAACCCTTCAATATTTAAACTCACTACTAATGGGTCCAGCCTCCAATGGCTGGACTGTCTTACCTGCTGTCTCCCTCAGGGCATCACTGCTTCTCTGTTTATTTGTCCCTGTCTGCCATGGCTCTGTGTGTGTGTGTGTGTGTGTGTGTGTGCATTTGCTATATGTGCGTCTGCTTTTTTCCTTTTTTCTTTCTATTTCAAAAATGTATTTTATTCATAGAAAATATCTTTGTATATATATAGTCACAAATGCAGTTCGGTTCTGCATTTGTCTGGTTGACCATCTATGTTTACCTCTGTGTGTGTGTGTCTCTCTCTGTGTGCCTGTGTCTGTCTGACCATCTCTGTGTGTCTCTTCCCTCTCTCTCTCTCCGACCATTTGTGTATCTGTGCCTCTCTCCTGTCTATCTCTCTGTATCTCCGTCTTGCTGTCCCGATTTCTCAATCTCCCCCCAAACCCCACTGTTTCTCCCTTTCTGTCTCCCTCTCTCTGCCTCAGTTTCTGCCTCCCTTGCTGTCAGATGTACACTCTCTGGGAGAATGAGAAAACCGAGTGGGTTAAATCGCCCTCTTCGCTGGTTACGGTAAATAATACGTTGGTTCAAATTTTCAAATGGGTGTCACCTTTCAGACTGGAGCTGAGTGTATGTTGGGCTGGTTTACAGCTGGGAGCTGGATTTGCAAATAAGCCTCGCTCCGGGAGGAGTGATTAATTCAAAGCAGGGATGTCTATTTAAAAAGGGGAGTGGGCAGTGAGGGAACAGATTGTGAAGCAGACAGGGACGGAGACACTGGCTCTTTCTCTCTCTCTCTCTCTCTCTCACTGATAGTCCAGGAGCTGCAGGTTTTACAACTTTTTCCAGCAGAGAACTTTGAAAACTGTATTTGCAATTTTGCAAAAAGAGTGTTTTTAAAAGGAAGGAGAAAATAAAGGGCAATTTGAAAACTTTTGTTTGGATGCAAAGTTTTGGAGAAGTTTTTGGAAAGTTGGCGAATACTTTTGTTGTGTTGTTTGCTGTGCGTTCAGGAGGTTTGGTGCCTGTCTCTGGGAGTTGCTGGGACTGGTCATGTTATTGTGGGCTCTCTTGCTGTTCTCCCTGGCTCTGTACAGCCGATGCCAGGCACTGGGGCCGATGGTGAACTGTGAGCCGTGTGATGAGAAGACAGAGTCCCTGTGCCAGGCACAGCCTGTGGGTTGCCAGCTGGTAAAGGAACCAGGCTGCGGTTGCTGTCTGACCTGTGCCCTGACCGAGGGCCACAGCTGCGGCGTCTACACCGAGATCTGCGGCACCGGCCTCAAGTGCCTGCCCAAACCGGACGAGGAGAAGCCGCTCCATGCCCTGCTGCACGGCCGTGGGATCTGCCTGCCGGCCAGGAGTTACCGACACAGCCAGGAGGAGGCAGCCGCTGCCCCGCCGCCAGGTGAGTGCCTCCCCCCCAACCCCCTCACACTCCCACCCCCTGTACAGGTCACCCACCTCCCCCACCACCCTCCCAC